AGGCATGCAAGACAAGCATGGAGACCCCTGGCAGGAGGGGGGCGGGGCAACAGGACCAGAGGGCCTGCTGATTTGAGATCTGAAGTCACCCAAGCCAAACCTAGGAGCCATCCTGGACTCAGCATAGCCCTCACCCTCCACACCCAGTCACCAAGGCCTCTCCATTCTGCCTCCCAGATGGCCCGAGAGCCCCCCACCCATACCCTCTGCCAGGGCCCCGGCCCAGCCACCGTCTCTCACCGAGACCTGTGCCCTCAGACTTTACTGAGCATCAGGGCCACTGTAGGACGTGAGACCGAGTTTCTGATTGAACAGATCTCTGCTGGGGCCTGGGCGTTGGCACGTCTCCCAGCTGCTGCCACTGGTTGGAGCCTGTGCTCGGAGAACCACTGACCTAGACGATTCCTGTGCTCGGGCCCTGCCTCAGCCCTGCACCACCTGGCAGGCACATGCCCAGGTTTCCCTCCTACTAGAATCTCACTTCTTGTTCCACCTGTATTGATCCTCCGTTTCCCCAGGAAGCCTGAGGCAGCGGAAGAATCTGACCAACATCCATACCCCCTGCACCTGAGGTGGAGCCAGGGCCTTGGCCACGACATGTGGGCAAACGGAAGAACTGGAGTATGTGCGTGTAGCTGGGGGTGGGGCGAGGCGAGCTGCTGCCATAACATGCCACACAGAAGACAGAACAGAGGCCTGGGCCCAAGTGGCACACTTGAAAACAATCCGAAGGGTCTAGCAGTGGTCGGCAAACTGCGGCTCGGCAAACCACGGCTCGAGAGCCACATGCGGCTCTTTGGCCCCTTGAGTGTGGCTCTTCCACAAAATACCGGCTTTTCCACAAAATACTGACTTCTGCGCATGGGCCACGAAGTTTCAATCGCACTGTACATGCACGCCCGCACGTGGTATTTTGTGGAAGAGCCACACTCAAGGGGCCAAAGAGCCGCATGTGGCTCTTGAGCCACGGTTTGCCGACCACGAGTCTAAGGGACCACAGGCACATTCCCTTGCTAGATGGAGGCCAAGTCAGTCCGTGGGATCGAGAGCCCCCCACCCATACCCTCTGCCAGGGCCCCGGCCCAGCCACCGTCTCTCACCGAGACCTGTGCCCTCAGACTTTACTGAGCATCAGGGCCACTGTAGGATGTGAGACCGAGTTTCTGATTTGAGATCTGAAGGGACCACAGGCACATTCCCTCAAATCGGTCCCACGAGTCTAATGTGCCTGTGGTCCCTTCAGATCCCAGAGGGCGGGAGGCCTGCCCTCTGCCACCTGAACAACAGAGGACAGAGCACCTGGTCCTGTCAGCCCTGGGGTCTGTTCTGGGAGTTGCTGGCAGCAATTCCCCAAGAGTATCTGAGAGAACCACCGAAGGGAGACGTGAGTCGGCCCGACCCTCACAGCACCTCCTACTTTGCAGCTGGAGGAGTAGAGAAGAAACATGGCTGAGGAGTTACTATGGGGGAGGGGCTTCTCTTTCCTTCATTTCTCTCCTTCCCAGCACTAAACTTGGCTTTTTAGTTGGACATTTGCTTAGTTTTTGTCTCTCTCTCCACTAGACCATAAGCCCCGAGGGGGCAGGGGCCATGTCTGTCTTGTCCATCACTCTAGGCCAGCACCTAGACCAGGGCCCGCCACATAGGAGGCCCTCAGAAAGTGCTGGTTGAATGAATGGACGAACGAATGGATGGATGGATGGTGAGGGAACAGTTGCTGTGATGAACCACAGGGCCCCAAACCAAGGACAACAAAAAAGAGATGGACAGATGGGAAGAGAGTACGTGGTCAAAAGTGTGGTTTAGGGACAGGAGCGCTCGCTAGGGTGGAGGAGTGAGGGGGGTGCCTGGAGAGGAAGGCCAGAGAGATGGATCCTTCCGCTGAAGACCTGCAGGGAGAACAGGTCCAGGCACAGGCTGTGGCCGCCATGGCAACGGGAGATCAAGGGCGCTGATGGCGAAGGCTGATGGACAGGTTATCAAGAACTGAGGCTGGGGTGACGAGGGTGGGGTGTCAGCACAGGGGCACAGTAATCCCGGGGACACAGCAGGACTGTGGGTGGATGGGTGGGAAAGGCTGGGAAATCAGAGGTACCACGGCCTTGGTGCCTGGGCGGGAGGCCACGGTAGCTGGTTGGCAGGGGATGGCGGTAAGGTGGGCTGGGCTGGGGGGAGAGCAAACGGCATGAGCCTGTAGGGGTTTCCATGGGGAGGGTCTGGTCTGGAGGCAGCACTGAGGGCAAAGAATGCCCACCCCTCTCTGAACCTGCAGGGCATGGGGGCAGGTGTTCAGCTTCTACTGATGGGGAACTGCTCATCCAACAGGGGCAGGGGTGGGATGGAAAACATTTAAATGGAACCAAAGACAGCCCGGTCCTGCAACCACTCTCAGACATCAGGCACTCCACTGGGACTGCCCTCACTGCGGCTTCCTATGGCCGGGGCACAGCTGCCTCCTGGGCCCAGGCACCCCATGGCTCAGAGCAGGGACTAGGCCTGCCCTCATGCCCGGGGCTTTGCCAGGCTCTGGGGGAGGTGATGGTACATGCTGCACCCCACTGTCACATCCTGCTTGTGGTCCCCCAGAGTCCATGCCCTGGCCCCAAGGAATGTACAGTCAAGGGTGGGAGGAGAGTCAAGGGATCCCATATGGGGGAGGCTCGCCACCAAGAGTTGTCCTGCAGAACAGAGAAATAGGTGAGAGCCCAGAGGAGGGACAGGGAGGGGGTTCAATGCATGCGAATTGCCCCTTATGCCATGGGCTTGACCTACCCCCCCACCACACACACACACACACACACACACACACACAGGCTCCTTTAATCACCCCACAACCCTGAAGACTGAAAAGGTCAGGTTTTCACTGAGGCCAAGAGAAGGAATGCAACCTGCCCAAGGTCACATGACTAGCAAGGGACCCAGTCGGAACGAAACCCAGGCCTGGCTGGCTTCCAATCATTGTACCTCAGGCTTCATCGAGAACTGAGGTAACGGACCGGCATCCTGGAGAAAGGGCATGTGCGTCGAGGGCGTGGCAAGCCCGCATCGGAGGCTCAGCATCCCCAGAGTGAGGTGGGTGGGGGAAGCATGGGTGCAGGTCAGGCTGAGCGGCCGCCCCCACCCCATTCCGTAGAGAAAACAGGGTGGGGCAGGGGAGGCTCCACAGGGCAACAGGCCCAGAGGTGAGGGGTGACAACAAACAGGGCCCTGTCAGCAGGGACAGGAGGGAGGGAAGGCACAGTAATGAGCTCCCCAGGGCCTCACCTCTCCTCCCCAGACCCAGGGCTGGCCCCACAGCACCAGGAGGCAGAGAGCAATTAGTCCCGAACACCCCACCAGCCACAGCCCTGGGACACGAGGTCCTGGACATCAGCCGCCCGGCCCTCAGCGCCTCCAGCCAGGCCAGGTGCCCCAACCTCTGCAGGAGGAACCTCTGGCCGGAGACAAACACAGGTCTGCACGGTCACACAACATCAAGGACAGGCCACCCTGCAGGTTCTGGGCCCCTTCCCCACTCCTGAGATGAGCAGCTGCACCTGAGCCCGGGGCAGGAGCAAGCTGAGGCTCCTCCCTGCAGATGATCACAGCCCACTCCCCAGGGGGGACACAGCAGGTCAGGCTCCGTCCCCACGGAAGGCCCCAGGATGCCTACAGCAGCAGGACAACTGTGGGGCTGCAGGCCAGTGGCTGGGCCCAACAACGACAGGGCAGGGAGGGAAGTGTGAGGCCAGCACAATCGGAATCCCGTGGGCCACCTCCACCCCCAGACCAGTCCTGCCCGAGCGGAGGGTGGGGCTCAGAGGCAGGGGGGCCTTGTTCTGGGATCAGAAAAGGTGGTTGGAGCCCTGAGGACAGTGCCACCCCGAGAACAGTGCAGGGTCCAACCCTCTCTAGGTCTTGAGGCCCATAAGTGCAACGATCCCACATGTGGCTCTCTGACACCCCAAGAGTACCCATGTCTGTGGGCTGAACCAGTGGCCTTGGCAAGGGCCCTACAGCCCGAAGCCACCCTATCCCCACAGGACCAGCAGGGGCCGGGCTCGGGGATGCCCGCCTGGGGTGGCTGTGAGAAGTCACACTCCATTCAGAAATACGACAGCAGGGCCCCCCCAGTCCCAGCCTCAGCCTCAGCCTCAGCCTCAGGCACAGCTCCCTCTGATGGCTGAGGGACATCGCAGGGGATGAGAACAAACTCACTCTGCTCCTGATTGGATGGGTAACAATTCCCAGATCATCTACGGATAGTAATTGTCCTAACGCGGGTAAGGCAGCCACCGTTCACAGAGCACTGCACAAGGCCTCCAAGTACAGCGTCTCCTCTCACCCTCACGACTCCCCGACAGCAGGGAGCTGGGTAGCCTGACTTTCAGATGAGGGTATTTATAAAGCCAAATGGTGAGCCTGAGGCTCGCACCTGAGCTTGTAAGACTGAGAAGCCCAGTGCTCTGATGCCCTGCCGCTCGCCCCTACAGGAAGAGCGGAAAGGGCAGGGATGAGAGAGAGGCAGTGACTTGTATTTGCTGGCATGGGAACCCAGGACACCTGAGCTTGTAAGACTGAGATGCCCAGTGCTCTTTCTTATGCCCTGCCGCTCACCCCTACAGGAAGAGCGGAAAGGGCAGGGATGAGAGAGAGGCAGTGACTTGTATTTGCTGGCATGGGAACCCAGGATGCAATCCCTGTTGATCATTCTTTAGAGAGCACAAGCCCCGCCTCTCCTCCAGCTTCCAGGCCTCCCCTGGAGAGGAGGCGGACTGAAGGGCTGCACCGCCGACTGCTGCCACCAGAGGGCGAAGCGTAAGGACCAGCGCCCATGTTTTCCAACCTAAACCCTCTGACGCTGGTCCGGAGCATCAGCATCTTGGAACCACGCTCATTTCTCAAGGACATGTTCTGCCAAATGGCCCAGGGACACTGCGGGCCCATAGTGGGGAGGAAACACACCAGAATCCCCGTGGGAGCAGATTCCCAGCAGCTGCCCAGGGACCTTAGGCTGGCAGGTGAGGGGAAGGCGGTCTGACACTCAGCCGACGCTGGAGAGCCCGGCGTCACCTCCCACCCCGCCCCAGGAACAAACCCCATGAAGTCTCACCTGCATGTTCCGGCTGCACCCCCCCGCCACTGCAGG